GTCACATCTCTATTATACGATCATAATCTCAATTCAAAAAATACTGATGTTTATATTATTTATAAACCGAACATGTCCGTACGCAATACTGTTTATCAGCCGGGCATGTAATATAATATTACCATAAAACATCTAACACGCGCCGCCGCCGAAATCCCTCCGTCCCGCGTGACGTCATTCCCCCGCGCCACCGTAATCCCCCGCGCGCCTCACCCCCCCTGAGAGGACCTGGGTTAGAACTCTCCTATATATCCTACTATTTTCTCTACTTAATATACTTTTTGCAAACTTCGTTAAGTTGAAATATTAACAAAGCTACATTCTTCAATTAATTTCAGGTGAAGTTCACTTTATAAAATTTTAATTTTTGGTTTAGTTACAAATCTTCGACATTTTCAATGAAGAAAAATCGTCTCTAAATAACTTTAGAAATCAGTTATTAATGTTACTGGATAGTGTGATAGTGCAGGAGACTGCATATAGGATGAGTTTTATTTCGTGTACCAATTTTTTTTATGCGAGGGATTACTGCCCAGGTAGCAAGCACACGTTATTTTGACGTTCCAAACTAGTCATTTTTGGTCATATGTCGTCAAAATGACTGATTATTGTTACATGACTTTATATTGACGTCTTGCTATAACATTATTTTGACGTCATTTTTCAGTCATGAAGTGACGATTATTTTATTATGAATGTCATCAGTTAGTACATCGATCCCATAAAAAAATCTTTTAAAATTTTTTATATAACATGACTTATTTCGCGATCAGACTTTATATATATATATATATATATATATATATATATTTATATTTATATATATATTTATATTTTTATATTTATTATATTATATTTATGAAATAGAGAGATGAATTGTAGTTTAATATTACTGGCAATAACGAAAGAAATATTACTAAGATATTACTGAAATAGTTAAAATTATTAACTGATTCTTTCTATAAAATATCACTGATTTACAGCGCTGTACTTATAATTACTGTAATCAGTGATTATTTACTGTTTTTCAGTGATAATACACTGATTCACTTTTAGAGAGTGCTTTATTCGACAACATTATTAAATATATTATTATGCTAAGAGAAAGACGTCAAAATGCGATACATGTCATGATGTCAGGAATCTGTGACATTAGATCGTCACTTTTACGTCATAAAAACGTCAATTCGTGACGTCAAGAAATCAGTGAATGACCAAATTGAAACGTCAAAATGACGTGTGCTTGCTACCTGGGTGATTGCAATTGCAATAAATTAATCGATACATAGGTAGCAATTATTTGGATAAGTATTACATTCGATATGCATGGTCGATTCAACTAATTGACATCTATAGGTACTTTCCGATTCACACATGATGCGCATAAAGTGACAGAAAATGTATAATATGCGTGACATGAACTATACATTTTCTGTCAGTTCATGCGCATCATGCGTGAATCGGTAAGTATACTATGTACCGATCAATTCATTCCAATTACAGTCGGTAATTTCTCGCAGGATAAAAAAATTATACATCTTTCATCGTCACAAGAATACAGCGCCTCTTTCGTCAAATGTGCGAATCGTACAAGAAAAATATGTGAAAAATGTAGCCACGACGGTGACGTTTCTTAATCAAAAAGTTTCACATTGAGACTTTGCATCGTTATATTTCTGCTTATAGAGCATATAGAGCAAAAATAAAGACACTTTCCTGATATAAATCGAACCCAAGCAATTGATTAAATCTAATAAGAATTTGATTGATTCAACGGTTATTGAGAACCGATAATATGCATTACTCGCAACTTAGCCATTCGCGTAAAGATACACGGTGTATCTTGCGCCTGAATGATGACTCGACTTCAAGACACTACCGTGTCTCTTGATAATTTTCCTTTATTATTATTTTTAATTGTGAATACGTTTGGGAAAAAATTTTATTTTAATGATTACCTGTGTATATGGCATAATCGAATATACACATGTATCGAGTATATACATGTTACATATAAGGTATATTAAATATTTTGATTATTTTCATCGGACAATTATTAAATTTGTTATTGAGTTTGCTGCTAGAACTTTATTATTAAAATTTTATTGTCAAAAATTTGTTACTAAATTTTTAGTTATACGTATTTCGACTTTGCATTCATGAATTTATTATTAAAATTTTGTCATTGCAAAGTTAAATTTTTGTCGTAAACACTTTATTATTAACTTATAGTTATTTATTAAGTAGGTTGACTATTATTATTATAAAGTTCGTTTTATTTTTATTTCGTTATTGTTGTGGGTCCCCCTTTTTTATAAATAAGTATTGACTTATTAATTTTTATTAATTTTTATTGCAACTTTTATATGATATTCGTTTATGATTATAACTTTCTTACAGTTCTTGGTGAATTGATCGACGAGACTATGCATGCATGTGGGCCAGGATTAAGGCAGTGGAATACGTATGAATTGTCATAAGGCATAATATACGGGTAAGTCTTCTTAAGATTTTATTTATTGATTTTAATATTTCCTTATATGTTTTTGAGTTTATGATCATTTTGATTGAGTATATATATTTTTATGATTCAATTTAATTTTTTTCTATTTTACATTATGAAAGATATGTATGTATATGTTGTATGTGTATGTATATGTATATGTTGTATGTATATGTACATATTTTTGATGTCTATTAATGGTATAACATTAGTGAGGGATGTTTTATTAATGTTTAATTATAAGAAAAAGGTTGATGCATTAATTTAGTGCATACTCTAGTTTTATACGAGTATGAATTTAGAACTTCCTTCTGCCTTTAGGCCAAGCGCGAATGTTGAAAATTCCAATGGGAGATAACGCGGAGCTGGACCTGGCATTGTACCCTTGTTCGACTCGTCGAGTGCACGTGCACAAAATTTTACACTCCACAATATTCGTAAGTATATATTAATTCACTGTTTTCTTCGTGTTTTCGCGTTTCATTCTCTTTGATTTACTAATGTATACATATTAAGTGTAGTAAGAAAGCGTTATTATTACATTTATTGTTATAACTTTTTTATTTTCGCTTAATGAATTTAGCGTTTTGATTTTAAGGTTTGAGTGACGTTTTGTACGTTATGTACCTTGGCATTATTTGTTTCCTTATAAATTTTGATTCTACATTATTAAATCTGTATATGTGCGTGTACACATATATATACAGGATGTCCGTCGATTTTCGATCTTAATGAAATAAATAAGTAGATTGGCTCGAATTAAGAAGGAATGACCTGTATTCTTTTGGGATTGTCGCAAAAATTAACGAAATATTAAATAAAAAAGATCGGCCAATCTGCGTGAGTAAAAGCGCGCGGCGACGAGAGTCGTCCCATCGTAATCCGATACTACGAGCGCGGCGAAGTGGTGGGCGGGTCGCTCTCCGAGACATGATGGTGGTTTGCGATATATCGCAATACCGCGCCGAAAAATGACCCGTTCCCTCTTTTCGTGGCGAGAAAATGAAGCGCTATCATTTCCACACCACCTTGCGGTAGATAGCATGGTGCGCTTTTTTTATAGTGGTTTCCCCCATAGGCCTATTCCACTCTCAATTTAAAAATGATTCAAAATGCTATTTACTATACGCTGAATATATCGTAAATGTAAAAAATTAATGGACAGTACCTTTACAAAAATTGATTCGTGGTTGAAAATCCCTCGATAAAATGTATTGCACTTGTTGATAATGTGATAGGATGATAAAATTCTTCAAGAATCCTTTCTTCATCTCGTACACGAAGACGCACTGCTGGACCGGTTATCCCGATATTATGCACGACACTCAGTTTCACATAATTATTGCACAACACGTAAAATTGTACGTCCACTTGGTTCTCGTGCACGCCCGAGAAATGATTCCATGTAAATTGCGGCCGCACGATAAGTATTTTCTCCCGCTAGTCCGTATGCGACAATCATATCCGTATATTCCTGCAGAGTACACTTCATTTTCTCTGTTAATTTACTACACAAACACAAGATTTTTATTAAAACGTCTTAGCTCTCGCACGCTGTTACCAGATTGCGTACGTCAGCAGCACGCAACTACAGCTGACAGCTGAGCGGACATGTGAGTGTAAGCGTACGTGTGAGTTCGACGCCTGCGAAAATCGATTATTGATAATAAATAGTTCTCTCTCTCTCTCTCTCTCTCTCTCTCTCTCTCTCTCTCTCTATTTCATTCGCTCACTCACCTGTTTTTTTTTTTTACGAGAGAGGGGAAAATGCATTTTATGCATACCCACCGGTCGATCCAGTGAGTTATGTGGGACTCGAGTACCAAGTCGAATTACCAACTCGGTACTCCCTACCCACTAAAAACCCCTCTCTTTTCGCGAATTTTCTTTGACACACTGTCCCTCTGTCCTTCCCGAGATCCGTTTTCATATAACGTCAAAAAATAGTTATTATTACCTTGTTCGATGACTTCTGATGTATTGCTGTAATTGCTTGAAGAAGAAATGATTTTTCCGATAGATCGTACGTTCTCAGATTTAACGTAGATATCACGTTGCGCAAGAAATCCACACGAAATTATTAACTGAAAGTTTTTCTTCTTTCATGAATTGCATTATTTTATAAATTTTAACATAATCACATTTATTTACTCACTCGACGAGACGAGAAATTTACTAATGACTCTATCACTAATCACTATTAATCACTATCGAATAATAACTGTTGGCGATTAAAAATCACTCGATAAAAGAAACACGCACGGGTACGTTACTACACGACGCGACGACGCGACAATGCGACGATAATTACTCGGCGACTGCAAGCAGTTTTTTGTCATAGTAGGTTGCATGTCGCGGGTCGCGTGTCGCGACCCGCGAATTCGTCGCGGGAGGTGTGGAGGGGGCATGGACCCCTGCGAGGATCGTATAAATACGGAGAGACAATCGATATTGAAATCAATAATCGCTCGATTATTAGAAGAAGAGTTAAGAGAAGATGGCAAGCTATACGATTCAAGAATATTACGATATGATAATGGCACTCGGTGCATCCAACGGGCAGCATTACGTTGCTGCAAGACGATACGCCGAATTATACCCAAATCGGGCGAGACATCCAATGCCTGATGTTATACTCGGAGCAGCCCAAAGATTATTCGAAACGGGCAATGTTCTCCCGAATAAACACAACGTTGGAAGAAACCGAACCGCAAGAAATTTGCGGAATACGGAGAAGTGGTTCGTGCTGTCGAGCAAGAGCCTGAGACAAGTATTCGGACTATTGCTCGAGAGCACAATTTCTCATATTCAACGGTACAGAGGATATTACGAGAAGAAAAGTTGCACGCTTATCATTACACTCGCGTGCAACATTTAAGACCAGAAGATTATCCTCTGAGAAGAACATTTTGTGAAAATTTTCTCATAAGCGTAGAAAGAGATCCTAGATTCCCTTCTCGAATAATATCTAGCGATGAATCGCTATTTACACGAGAGGGAATATTTAATCCACATAACATGCATTTGTGGAATGAAGAAAATCCTAGAGCTACACGAGTCAGAAATTTTCAGACTCGTTGGAAGCTCAATATCTGGACAGGAATTATGGGAACAGAAATACTGAGCCTAGTTATCCTCGCGGATATTTTAACCAGCGGAGCATATCTGGAATTATTAGAGAATAATTTACCAGATTTCCTGGAAGAAGTGCCGCTATCGGAAAGAGAAGAAATTATATTTCACCAGGACGGTGCTGCCAGGATTGTGACAACTTTTTTAAACTACAAGTTTCCTGGACGTTGGATGGGCCGATATGACCCGATACGTTGGCCTGCTAGATCCCCGGATTTAAATCCATTGGATTTTTTTCTTTGGGGATACTGCAAAGAAACGATATACAAAACGCTCCCTGAAAATGTAAAAGATTTGGAAACAAAATTGCGATATTCCATATGGTCCATAGAAGAAGACGTAATGGAAAATGTTCAACAAAATTTATTGAAACGCATGAGAGCATGCGTTAGAATGGATGGGGGCCACTTCGAACATTTATTATAAATTCAAATTATAAGTTCAAAATTAATCCGCCCTTTTTAAGGCGATCAAAAACAATCTGCTCTTTTCAGAGCGACCAATTTTTTAACGTATGGAGTATCTTATTTTGCAATTAAAAACACAAGAAAAAGAGAGGAGAGAGAATAAAACGCGATTAATTAATATTTTTTCATTTATCTATTTCATCTATTTATTTTTAACTATTTATTATAAATAATCGAATTTCGATCATTGATAATAAATAGTTAAAAATAAATAGATGAAATAGATAAATAAATAAATAGAATAGTTAAAGATAGAATAGTTAAAGATAAAATAGTTAAATAAAATAGTTAAATAAAATAATAAATAATATAGATAAAATAATTAAATAAATATTAAATATTAATATTTAATATGAGTGTATAAAAGTAATAAATATTTTAAAAATACTTATTTAATCTAATTAATTTTTAAATAGATACGATGTATGGACATCAAACACATTCATGATAATAATATTAATATGTTAAATGTTTATTCTTTACGTCTACCACGCATTCTTCAATCGAACACATGATCGCGTTCGATAGCGCCAGTAGTACCTTAACCTACCGCAACCTACCATGACAAGGAAGCAGCGGCACTTGCAGTCGCCGAGTAATTATCGTCGCATTGTCGCGTCGTGTAGTAACGTGTCCGCGCGTGTTTCTTTCATCGAGTGATTTTTAATCGCCAACAGTTATTTATATAAACATTATTCGACAGTGATTAGTGATAGAGTCATTAGTAAATTTCTCGTCCCATCGAGTGAATAAATAAATGTGATTACGTTAAAGTTTATAAAAGAATGCAGTTCATAAAAGAAGAAAAACTTTCAGTTAATAATTTAGTGTGGATTTCTGTCTTGTGCAACGTGATATCTACGTTAAATTTGAGAACGTACGATCTATTGGAAAATTCATTTCTCCTTCAAGCAATTACAGCAATACATCAGAAGTCATCGAACAAGGTAATAATAACTATTTTTTGACGTTATATGAAAACGGATCTCGGGAAGGACAGAGGGACAGTGTGTCAAAAATTCGCGAAAAGAGAGGGGTTTTTAGTGGGTAGGGAGTACCGAGTTGGTAATTCGACTTGGTACTCGAGTCCCACATAACTCACTGGATCGACCGGTGGATATGCATAAAATGCATTTTCCCCTCTCGTAAAAAAAAAAAAAAAAAAAAAAATACACGTGAGAGAGAGTGAGCGAATGAAAGAGAGAGAGAGAGAGAGACAGACAGACAGACAGCAGACAGAGAGAGAATGTATGTGTCGCATGTGTGTCTGTGTGTATAGCGACCAGCTGATCGCAGCAGGCGGCCCGCGTAAGCGCCCCCGTCTGACGGGTCTCGCGTTACCCTTGCCTGCCTCTTGTATCCGACCCGTCATGCGTTAACTTCTTTCTTTAATAATTCGAAAACTAAGTTTCGGACGAAATTTTGCAAAAGGAAAAATCGTTTTAGAACTGACTCAACAATGTGTCATTTCACGGACACAGGGGTTATTTTGAATCACCCTGTATATCTTAATATTCGTAATATTCTTCTTCTCTCGATCAGAACTCGGAGACGACTGATTGATCCATGGTTTTTCTCTATGCTTCGAAGGGTCACACTAGTGTAGCGATTGCACAACGACATACGTTAAACATTCTTAATCTCTTCCTGGTACACCCCAATATAAGTAATTGTAGATTCTTTCCGCGTTCGACGTATCCATATCTCTCTCTCTCGCATTGGATTACACAGCATGCACATTTATAAACAATATAAACAAATGGTGCCTCCCTGAATCGTCCTCCGTAATTTTTTTCTCGGAAGGAATGCAATGCATATCAGCGCAGATGTTCGACCGCTTTATAAACGCAAGCAAACGCAATGAAAGTACACCATGATATAGTAAACTTAAAACTCTTTATTCATGTTTTTACATATTTTTTGTCTTACGTATTATATGGACTAAAAGCTAAAGCCGCCAGCTCGCAATCGACGAGTTGATGCTTGTTGAAAGCGTCACTCGCGCGTATTACATTCGATACTTCTTTAAGATCCGTTACAGTGGACGCGATATTGGAGAATTGCGTAAATTTAACATCGATTGTTTGGATAATTTTATCTAATCGATCAAAAGTTACATTTATGCATTAATCGAGATCGAACATACGATGTAACGTCGATTCGACCATCATCATACGTTCGAAGATTCGAGACTTATGAGTTTGGCATCGTTAATCGTACGAACTCGCACAGTTAGCGGTCCAACGCTTATAAAATTATAGATGTCGTGAGAGTCGTTCCGAAGGAGATTTAGAATATTGCGACGTTGCTCGCAGAGTCCCTTCCACGTTTCGAGAGATAATATCAGTCCCTTTCCCCGATGATCTCCTATGACAATCTCCACGTAACTCGGCGGACCCACGTTGATACAGATTTCGAGGAATTTGAATTCCGTAACTGTCAATGCGTATCGTCTGCCTAGTATGCGAACCGCACGACGCTCCGACGAAATGCTACGGGAAAAAAATTAAAATTAAGTAATACTAATAATACAACTTGTAAAAAATAGAAAAATGTTAAACGAAACTTACTCGTCGTATTTGTTCTCAAACGATGGAGTTTTATCACGACTCGGCACGTAATTATTCACGTGTCTTCCGATGCCGCCACTGCTGCTACCGCTGCTGCTTCTTTCAACATAGTACATTTCTCTGGGGGGTTATGAAAAGTGAATCCACGAGCGGTTAACGCGACACTGGTCGTACATGAATTAATTGATTATACCCGACGCTCATCTATTAAAAGTATAATGTAGTGGTGGGGGATCAATGCTTCTAACATATAACGAATTTAGGAGAAGGAGGAGGTGGTGCTCGAACAAAAGAATTCTTCGAAACGCATGCAAAGGATCAGGGTGGGGGAAATAAGAGATAACGCATATTAATGTTTACATATTTTATTTTTCTCGCAATTCTTTCTGGCGTCGCGACCACCAGTTAAATATTTTGAATACATTTTGTAAGACGCAATTCTTAACATGTTTCCCGCATCGCATACTATTCGTATCGTCTAATTTATTTAGAGCATCGATATCTTCGTAATCCGCATCCAAGGTTTCAATAATATAGCCGTTCCCCGCATCGTCTAGTATATCGGCCAGCCATTTTCGCTTTTCAAGTCCTTTGACGTACACGACAGACGATTCTTCTTCTTCTTCTTCGTGTACCAACGACAGCTGTTGTAATCGCACGCTGAGCCAAGCCATACGGATCGTTTTCGTCTTCCCATTGTAATCCGTGATGATTTCTAATCAGCCATGAGACTTGACGTTGCTCAGATTTTGTATGCACGCTCTACGGTACGGGACTTGCGAAAAAGTAATGCGATAGAACGTATCCCTTTCTCAAGACTGCCGCTTCCTTCACGACAAAATTTTTCCCAATGATAAATCTTTGCAGATCCACAAACGTTGGTACGGACATGACGAGATCTCTCTCTCTCTTCGATACGCCAGTCGAGAGGAATGACAAAACTCTAAAACCATCTCGCAAGACTTTGATTTATATCGTGCTCCTCTTCCCCCTCTCTCTTGTGTCGCAAACACTTAGGTGATTTTGCGTACAACGGATTTTGATCAACGGATTGTACTGGATCACGCGATCGTGTATGATGAGGCAGTACGCAGTGGTATTTGGCGGCACGTTCTCTTTACACTCGAATTCCAATCTCACATCAACGGTTGCGCTCTTGACCGATTCGTTTTGTCGAGAACAATCGATAATCACGAACGGACCGTAAAGTTGAAACATCCCGACGGAGAGACTCGGCTCGAGATACTCGTATCCGTAATAATTCTTGCAAAAGCGCATAGGTCCGTTTCTACCAACGTAGTTTAAGAAATTGATCCCTAGTGATATTGGATTAAGCCCGATTAACTTAAAAATTGGTTTCTACCAAACATTTGCACACGTTTAAAACTGCATAAACCGAGTTTAATTTAAACGGCCAAAATTGGCCGATTAAGGACAATTAAACTACGATTAAAAAATATAACTAGTGTCACATGTTACTTTGATATATACTTAACCTATTTGTTGGACATGGCACATTTTTATGATGTATTGTCATCTTCTGATGATGAAGAAATTTTTGAACAAATTAACAGAAGAGAAAGAAAATTTAAAGTGCACATTAATTTTTTCGAAGAATTAGACGACATTGAATTTAAAATGCGATTTCGTTTAAGTAAAGAGTCAGTATTATTAATACTGGAAAATATTACAGAAGAATTAGAGTTTGTAACTAATAAGTAAGTCCTTTATAATTATTTTCTAATAATAATTTTATAATTACATAATTATATAAAATTAAACTTATACAAATAATATATATTTTTATTTTTTAGAAACAGAGCAACTTCTCCTATGGAACAATTATTACTTACACTTCGTATTTACGCTACAGGATCATTTCTTATAACAATTGGAGATTTTTCTGGAGTGAGCACAACTTCGGCACATTATATTGTACATAGAGTTAGTGCAGCTATTGCTAGATTACGGCCTCATTATATCCATTTACCAACTACAGAAGAGGAGATAAGAAATGCTCAACTACAATATTATAATATTGCACGTTTTCCTAGAGTCATTGGTTGTATAGATTGCACACATATTCGTGTTCAATCATTTGGTAAGTTAATTTTATGAAAAATTGTTATTACTTTTTGTGTATATTTTTATTATTGTAATATTATATTTTATTATTTTTTATAATGTATAGGTATACATCTTTTTGCTATTGAAGTTTTTTATTATTACAGGTGGAGAAAATGCTGAATTGTTTCGCAATAGAAAAGGTTACTTTTCTTTCAACACTCAAGTAGTATGTAACAGCAATTTAGAAATAATTGATATAGTTGCTCGTTGGCAAGGTTCTGTTCATGATAGTACTATTTTTAATAATAGTCGTTTGAGAGCAAACTTTGAGAATGGAATGTATGGCAATAGTTTGTTATTAGGAGATTCCGCATACCCATTAAAAAGATATCTTGTTACTCCGTTGTTGGCACCACAAACTGCTGCAGAACATCTTTATAACGAAGCACATATTCGCACTCGAAATACAATAGAACGTCTTTTTGGCATTTGGAAAAGAAGATTTCCAATCCTAGCGCTTGGAATGCGATATCATCAACACAGAATAATGAATATTATTATTGCAACAGCAGTGCTTCATAACATTGCTAGACGAAATAATGAAGCAGTACCAGATAACGATCCAGATTTAAATTTACCTGCACCATGGGATCAAATGTTAGCAGAATGTAACATAAATCACAGAAATAATAATGACGAAGTTGCTGATGTAGCAGTTCGAACAGAATTAATTCATAATTACTTTGCCAAGTAAGTTTTTATCTATAATTTTATGGACAAGCTTTATTTAATAAATTTTCCTTAATTGAACACATCATATATTATTAATTATAATTTTTTAACATTTAAGAATATAACTTAATTACAAATTAATTGTTATTGTATACATTTTTTTCAGCCTTCCGTTATAACAAAGGAACATGGAATATAAAAATAAAATCTGTTAAGTTAATTTAAAAAATATATGTGAATGTATGTGAAAATATTGTCAACATTTTATTTATATACTTGGATTTAAATATAAATATATATTTTTATATAATATTTTATTTTATAATCTTTTATACATTTTTATCTTTATATTTAATAATAAAATTATATCTCCTGCGCAAACTTTGAAATATGTAAATTATGTAAATGCATATGTAAATTATAAATTATAAATTGAAAAACTAGTAAAATTAAAACTAAATAAATGCGTTAACTTTAATAGCAAAAATTTCGCTTTTCTGAACTTTTTTAATATTTAAGCATATATATTTAGGCATAACAAATTGTTATACAAACATTGATTATAGAATTAATTATATCTTTATTAAACATTTTTAAGGAGATCCACTAAATTACATATCTATATATATATTTATAGCTAATATAATATACGTAAATAAAATACATAGAAAAACAAAATTAATATTAAATAAAATATATTATGTTTTTTATTAAAAACAAAGATATATTATCTGTAGAGATTCATTAAATCATATTATTGCAATGTTATTGTTATAATATATTATAAAATCTATTCTATATTTATTAAAAAAAATTACAATGCTATAAAGGAACTATTAAATCTTAACATATACATATCACGTATTTATCATATACATTTAAACATAAAATATGTAAATGAAATGCATAAAGCAAAGTAAACATTGAATAAAATGTTATCTATCTCCTTTATTAATAAAAATAAAAAATATATATTGGGTGTTTTCCATTTAGCGACACAAGTCGACACAAGCATTATTTGATCTTTATTTTCATAAAATGTAGAAGAAAGATAGAATGATATTTGTGTCGATTTGTGTCGCTAAAATCCGCTAAATGAAAAACACCCATTATCTGTGGAGATTTATTAAATCATTAATAGCACGCTTATGCAAACTATAAATTATAAATTGAAAGACTTGTTAAATAATAATTAAATAGAATTTAAAAAATTAAATTAAAATATTCATTATTAAATAGATTTTTTGCTCTCTCTTTCTAATATTTGCTCTTTTATCAACAATTCTTTTTCTAATAATTGCACTTCTAATTCTTCTTTTTTTAATTGCATATTTAAAATCTGCATTTCAATTTTACTTTTTGCTGTTAAGTCTTCTTTCATAAATTTTGCCAGTTCTGTTTTTGATTCCATTAATATATTAAATTGTGACGGTCTTGTATTAAACTGTGACTTTGTACTTTCCTTCTTCCTGCGTGAATTATTTTGATGCTTATTAAAATCTTCATTACATTCATTATTCAAATTTCTTATTTGAAGTGGATTACTTATTTTTTTTCTTAATATTTCTATTGCAGATCTATTCTGCAAATTCTTTTCCCCTTGTAATTGTAATTTTTTAATTTTTTGTATTTTATCGGGCAATCCCCATTTTTTATAACTTACACTGCTATTTTCATCAGTCTCTATTTCATTCATATTTTGGTTTTCATCAAAATCATTTTCATAACTATCGTTATTAATATAATCTTGCATACATTTACTTAACTGGTTTTTTTTCTTTGTATATGAATGTCTTCTATTATTATTTACCAACTATAATAATATATATAAATATAACATTACTAATAGCATATAATATTAATAATATAGTATTTAAATAATATAAAAAATATCTAATTAAATTTAATAACTATAAAGTGTTTAATAATTATAATAAATTATAAAAAAAATTAAAAATTTGTATTACATATATTTCTTTGTAACTTACATTGCTATTTTCATCAATCTCAGTTTCATTTATAGTTTGATTTTCATGATTGTCGTTAAATTCATTTTCATAATTGTTGTTATTTATAGTATAATCTTCTATACTACTTAATTGATTTTCATTGTATATCGTTTCATTGGTGTTTTTGACTTTCAGACACTACAAAACAAATACGCATAATTAATATATTAGGTGTTAAACTTAATTCCTGCCGTTTTTTACATTACTTTAGGTGGAAAAAACGGCAGGAATTAAGTTTAACACCTAATAATAATCTATTTTAACTAAAACATACATTTTGAATACTTACAGTTTGTACATCATCCTCACATAAATCTTCGTTTATTATATTATCTTCATCAAGCCATTCATCTACAGTAATACTATTTCTTGGCATTTCACACAAATTTGTAGTTTTAACTTTAGGACTTGTACTTATAACTGTTTTATATGATTTAGTATTATGTGTAGGAGTTTTATATGTAATTATATTTGTAATTATAGGCATTTTACGTAAAGTTGACGTTGAAGTTTCACTTGATTCTGTTAAAAATAATATAAGTAATAACAATAATATATAATAAAAATAATGTATTTGTATAAAATAATATAAAGACATTTTACCTATGGCATCACTATCAAAATTATTTGTTAAGCCATCGACTGAAGGTTTTATTATATCTCTTATGCGTTCCATTACTATATCTGATGTAGATTCACAAGATCCACCACCTGATATTAAAAATGCATATACAAATATTAAAAATACCAAATTATTAAATATTAAAATTATTATAGAATGTCTAATACAATATTACAGCAGATATGATGTTTAAAAATAATGCTCTATAAAAATATAAAGAGAAAAAATTTACCTGTTTTATATAATTTCATTTTTTCATCTGCAAAAAACTTTCTGGTTTTCTTTTTTAAATTGTCCCAACAACTTTTTAAAACTTCTGAACTTCGAAATTCTGTCGAAGAAATACTATTAAATGTATTTTCTATTATTTTCCAACTTTTTTCTTTATCTTTTAAGGTTACGTTATCAGATCTTTTATTTTCTATTATATGCTTATGTTTTAATATTAAATCGATTAAAATCATTTTTTCTGCTTGTGTGAAGTTCACAGCGCGTTTTCGTAATTGTTTATTTTCCATTTTATAATTTGTAACATCTAAAACTTAGGTCTACACCAAGGGTCTACACGTTACAATTTTAATAGGAAAATATATGTAATAAATTTTTGCACATATATATATATATACATGTATAAAATCTGTGTATATATATATATATATATATATATACACAGCCTATTTCAATTCTTTAGTTTATTAATAAATTTCGCTTATATTATATGTATTTATATGTGATATTTATTATATAATAAAATTGATATACACATAAGATTTTTGATTTCCCACTAATTCTATTAGAGCCAATATTGAACCAATCAGTGTCCTATTTCTACAAATGTTCGAAGTTATGTCATATAAGGTATAAGTTTAATTAAACGTATTCAATGTAATGTTTGTAGAAACCAATCTGTATTAAACTAAGGTTTAATTTTAATCGAAGTTTCGTTAAACTGTGAGTTAACTCAAAATTGGTAGAAACGGGCCATATACGTGTTGTACAGAATGGAATATCTGTTTTTATCGAAATCCAGATTCATATCGTCGTACGGATAATATTCCGAATTCAGATAAAGTTTAACGTTGATCAATTTGCAGTGGTCGAATTCACTTGAATCCTTAGACATGACATTCTTCCGACCTGTCTGCAGAGCGAAGACAACGTATCGTGATTTCTCCAGCTGAGTCGCGATCTTAATGGCCCACGAATGCTTGGTTGTAAGCTGCAATAGCGGATACTCGTACAGATCCCACGAGCGAAAAGCCATGCTGAGATATCGTCCGCTTTCCAGAGCACGCAGCATCGACTACTTTTTGATTTCGCTCAACAGCACGTGAGGCATTCGCCATTGTATCTTGAATATGTTGAGCTCAGGCTCCTGCGCCGAATTTCCAAACAGACAATTGTCGTCGTTGTGCGATCGTATCAAGATCAATTCGTGACGAGCGTTAATCACCACGCGTCTGTAATCCTCGCAAAATCCCAGTAACATGCAGAGTGGTACGCAAAAATTGAAATGTCCATTCGCGTTGGTCGACGGATCCCAGCCGGCGTTTTTCATAATCACGCTTCTATCGGATGATACCGTTACATAGTTTTTGAGCGTAGTAGTTATTCCTACGTTTCTATTGCGATCAATCTCAACGCCGTCGAGTTCGTATCGAATCTCATCGAACATGAATGCGACGCAATTATTTCCCAGTGCCAATTCAGTTTCTCCTTCAGCTGCTGGTTTCGTTAGTTGTCCCTCGATGTATAGGAAACTCTCGTGCGGTAGCGTATACAGATCCTGTTGTTGTATGGGTATTCTTATCTCATCATTGTGTCCGAACATTGTATTGGCGAACGGGTTGTACGTGTGAGTCTCGACCTTGACGATACGATCGTCAAAGATAGGTTCGTCACCGATGTTGAGAATGTCTGTCATCGTTCAGCTGTTTCGCACCGCGAATCCCAAAGATTGCAAAAAACGCAACGTTCGATGCGCTGAGTTTCTTTTTCTCGGATTGGATATTAGCGAACGTCGATGTTGATGTTGTCGGTGTCGCTGATTTCGTAAAGATTGCGTTATCACTCGCGTCTTTCGATCCGTTCAACACGAGCATCTCATACGTCGCATACGTACGTACGTTATCGCCGCAGCCGTCGTACGTGCAATCTTACGGTGATCTCTTCTCCTCGAAAATCGAACAATCGTCCGTTCTGGTCGACAACGCGTAACGTTAAATCCGTAAAGCTCCGCGCGATGATCGGCAGGTAAATGATCTGCGCCGGCGTTTCCGATATTTTATATCCCGGCGGTACCCTCGGTGAAAATTCGTGTATCGTATGAACGAGTTTTCCGTTGTTGTATGCGCCCGCGGTCACGTTACATTCTACGCGGATAATATTAAC